CACATGCCTGTAGTCCCAGCTACTCAGAAGGCTGAGGCAGGAGAATCACTTGAACCTGGGAGGCAGAGGCTGCAGTGAGTTGACATAGCACCACTGCACTCCAGCCTGGATGACAGAAAAACAAAACAAAACAAAAAAGAAATCACTCTCTACCAGTTATAGCCCTCTGCCCAGGCCAATGTTGTGAAGCTTTTCCTCTATATTTCTTTTTTAGTAGTTTTAGAGTTTCTGGTCTTATGTTTAAGCCTGTTTAAATTTGTTTGAAATGACAAAGTGACTGGATTTATTTGTAAGTAACTAGGTTCAATTTTCTTTCATTGTGCCAATATGTGGCCTAACCCAGAGATTAAGTGCCACTTTCAGGAAAATAAAGTTATAGTTTTGTACAACCTTGAATGTATGTCTTATGAATATTTTTTCTTGGTTTTAGTTGATATATAATCATTGCACATATTAATGGGATGCAGAGTGATACTTCAGTACATATATACAATGTGTAATCAAATCAGAGTTATTAACATAGCCATCACCTCAAACATTTATCATTTCTTTGTGTTGTGAACATTCAAAATCTTCTCTTCTAGCTTTTCCAAAATATGCAATATGTTATTAACCATATTTATCCTACAGTACCATAGAATACTAGAACTTATTTCTCCCATCTAGCTGTATTGTTACATTAACCAACTTCTCCCTATCCTCCCCTCTTCCTATCCTTTTATTCTCTAATAACCACAATTCTATTCTATTATTTATATGAGCTCAATTCTTTCAGCTTCCACATGAGTGAGAAAATGTGATATTTGTCTTTCTGTGCCTGACATTTCACTTAGCATTATGTCCTGTGGGCTAATCCATGTTGCACAAATGACATGATTGCATTTTTTCTTTTGTTTCTTTTATTTATTTATTTTTTTCAGGCTGAGTCTCACTCTGTTACCCAGTCTGGAGTGCAGTTGCCCGATCTCAGCATCCTATCTTCAAGCGATTCTCATGCCCCAGCCTCCTGAGTATCTGGAATCACAGGCGTGCACAATCACGCCTAGCTAATTTTTGTATTCTTAGTATAGACTGGGTTTTGCCATTTTGGCCAGGCTGGTCTCAAATTCCTGGCCTCAAGTGATCCACCCACCTCAGCCTCCCGAAGTGCTAGGATTACAGGCGTGAGCCATCACGCCTGCTGACTTCATTGTTTTTCATCAATTTCATTCTTTTTCATGGCTGAATAAAGAATGAAAGTTCATTGTGTATATATACACAAATTTTTTAATCCATTTATCTGTTGATGAATATTTAAGTCAATTTCATATCTTGGTTATTGTGAATAGTGCTGAAATAGACATGGGAGTTTAGGTATCTCTTCAATATGCTGATTTCCTTTTCTTTGGATAAATAGTAGTAGGATTGATGGCTCATATGGTAATTCTATTTTCAGTTTTTCGGGAAACCTCTATACTGCTTTCCATGATGACTGTACCAATTTACATTCCACCAACAGTGTTTAAATGTTCCCTTTTCTCTGCATCCTTGACAGCATTTGTTAATTTTTGTCTTTTTGATAATAGAGCTACTCTGTTGTGTTTAAGTTTTCAGTATATTTTGAGCTGATTTTTGTATGTGTTGTGAGATAAGGGTCCAATTTCATTCTTCTGCAAGTGGACATACAGTTTTCCCAACACTAATTGTTAAAGATAGTGTCCTTTCCTCATTGTATGAGGAAAATGATTTGGGATTTTCATAGAGATTATATTGAATCTGTAGATTACTTTGGGTAATATGGACATTTTCACAATATTAATTTTTCCAATCCATGAATATATCTTTTTATTTATTTATGATACCTTGAATTTCTTTCATCAGTGTTTTATTATTTTTAGTATCAGATCTAAAAGGTTTCTATATCAACCAATTACTACTACTCTTTGGATCTATTCAGTAGGATAGCAGTTATTGGAGAGAGGACAGACCTTGGCCTGGGGAGAGGCAGGAGAACAGACCCCCTTGCCAGACCCATAAATACTCATGCATCAGCTTTACCTCAGCTTCACTGAGGAACTCCATGACATGTCCACTCTTCCCAATTCCACTCCATTTTTTTTTTCATATAAGGGTTCATAAGTCTCTCCCACAAAGTGGGATACCCAAGAATATATAAAAGTGTATACCCAAGAATTTTCTCTGGAGTAGTAGCCCTCTACCCACTTCTGATGAAACCCAAGATCTATCCCCCCATCAATTGAAACCGCTTTCTCAAAGAACACCAACAGCTCATTGATTACCAATCCAGTGGCTACTTGCTATTCTTTCTCCTAGACCTCTGTGCACCATGCAACATTATTCACCAACTTCTCTTTCCCTCTCCCTCGGTAGAGCCATCTCAGGCTCTTTCACTGGCTTGTCTTCCTTAATTCTCCTTTTGAATGTTGTGCCCAAGGTTCAGTGCTTGGCTTTCTTGCTCTTCCTATTCTATGCTTCTTGCTCTCACCCAAATCCCACAGCTTTTTACATATGTGTTTATATCTCAGGCCCTCCTTCTAATCTCTAGATGTGCATGTGCAGCTACTTGATGGTCATGAACAATCTATGCAGATTCCTTAAATCAACATTTATTCTCAAAGTTACTTCCTCCTGTGTTTTTTTCTTGTTAATGGCGTCAACTATCCTTCCCTGCAAACATTGTTCTCAAGTACTCCAAATTGCGTGATCATACAGTTCTAATCCCCTAAGCAACATTTAATTAAGTGCTTTTGTAGATAAGACTGAGGCCCACCATGGTGAAATTGCTTCCCCCAGGTTATCCTGCAAAGCTAAATCTAGAACCAGAATCTCCTAATCCTTCATATTTATTCGTTCCCTTATTCTTTTACTAATTCCTGTCAATTCTACATCCTCAGAGGTTTTCCCATCTATGCATTTTCACTGTCTCAATTTAAAATCTCATTTTAGTATCTTTTAACTATACTAATGCACTTCTAACTTGCTTTTCTCTTATCTACATACACTACTGACAGAAATAATATTCCTCAACTCCAAATCTAATCATGATGTTCTCCTGCTGAGACATCCACTTTATATAGAATAAAGTTCTAACATCTTGTCCAGTAGTCAAAATCCTATGTAATTAGATCCTAGCTTTCTTTCTATTTTGTATTAGCTACACACTTGTTTTATTTCAACCAATTCAAATTATTATCAGCTATTCAGTATACCTAGCTAACTCTCACACCTCCATGTCTTTCTCAATCTGTTCTGCAGACCGTCTGTCAACAGGGATGGTCTGTCATCCGATTTTCTTCCCCATCACCACCATGAATCTAAAGCATAGTATTTTGTTCATCTTTTCAGGTCTATCTCAAGTTCTACTTCCTCTTTAAAAAAAACAAACAAAAGCCTTTGTGGCTCATGCCTGTAATCTCAGCAGTTTGGGACTTTGGGGGCTGAGGATCTCTTGAGCTCAGGAGTTAAAGATTAGCCTTGGCAACACAGTAAGACCCTGTCTCTATAAACGAAAAACAAAACAAAACTTTCCCAACCCCTTCCTCATAGCACATTGTGTCTTTATTGTCCTATGCATCAAAGTCTCTTAATTGAGTTAGTTTTTAACTCTCTTAGCAGATTGCTAACTATATGAATAAAGAGATTGTGTTTTACTTGCCTTTTAGATCTCCTCTAGTTCATTGCAGAACTTGACATTTAGTAGATGCTCAAAAGCACTTGTAAAATTAAATAGTAATTAACATCCATATAATGCTAAAATTTGTAAAATACATTCTCAAAACCTGTAGGTCATTCAAATGTTTTTATTATTCTAAATTTATAGATTTTTAAAACTCTGAAGAACAGAATTTAGTAAGACCTGTATTCTCTGGTGGGAATCAAAGGTTTTTACTCCATATTACCTCTGTTATTCTAAGTCGGAATTCTCCAAAGGACCATGCTGGGTATTTTCCTCACAATCATATTTACTTGCTTCAGGCTGTTTGTACATACTATCAAACAGCCCAATTAAAAATTAAAAATTCAATCAATCATCCAAATATTTTAAAATGTAATGTACATATGTTTGCTTTCATATAGAACAAACAGCCAGGTGATTGATTGAGCTATTTGCTTTTCAACCAGTTGTTTTGGCAGTATGATTATTACATAAACTCCAACAGTGACATTTTATCAGTTTTTTGTAGATTTTCTAATTTTACTTGATTCTTCCATTTATTTACTATAGTCATCTAATCTTATTCATATCATTTATCAGGCAATGAAACATGGTAGGCAGAAAAACTGGTTCTTAAGACTTCTTTAAGCCCGTCCCCACAGACTTGGAACCAAGATTATAATGCTGGGATTGAAGAGAATATTCTGAGATTGGATAAAGTGATTTATACCCTGCAGCTTCCATGATTCAGAGATTTGGAGAGAAAAAAACAAAAACTCATTAATTCTGGAAACAAGCAGGAGTCCCTCTGATGAAAAAGAAATCATCAGGAAATCCCAAAAGACAAAACGATAGGCGGAATTGAACTGAAAGGGAAAACTTTTGCCAAAATGTGCAAAAGAGAATACCACTAGGAAAGATGGTATGAGTAGGTTCAGGGAAAAAAAAGGAAGGAACCCTGGGGCAGTGGCTCATGCCGATAATCCCAGCACTTCAGGAGGCCGAGGCGGGGGGATCACCTGAGGTTGGGAGTCTGGCCAACATGGTGAGACACTGTAAAAATACAAATATTAGCCAGGCATGGTGGTGGGTACCTGTAATGTCAGCTTCTTGGAGACTGAGGCACAAGAATCTTTTGAATGCAGGAGGTGGAGGTTGCAGTGAGCTAAGATCCAGCCTGGGTGACAGAGTGGGACTCTGTAAAAGAGAAAAGGAAAGGAAAAGAGAAGAAAAGCAAGGAGGGGTGGGGTGGGGAGGGGAGAGGAGGAAAATAAAGCAGTAGGAGCAGCCTAGCAGTTCTGACCCCTGTTCCCCTCCCAACTGCCACTACCACCATATGGAGAAGAAAGGGCAAGACTTGGGAGGACTCAAGATGGCGCTGTGAGAACAACCCAGGATTGGAGCTCTTCTCGTTGAATCTGCAAACGGTGAGTCAGAGCGGCATTTCCAGACTGATCTTTGTTGCCCACAGAACGGGGAAACTCCCAAGTATAAAAAAGACACGGGACGCCAGGCAGTAGGTCTGCCTGGCGAAGCCGGCAGCCAGGGCGACGGCGGCCAGCCCTACCCAGCAAGCCCCACAGGGCGCGCTTGTCCGGGTGCCCTGTTGAACCGGCAACCTGAGACTTGAGAGGGCTGGACTTGAGACTGAATGAGACTTGGACAGTAGCCCAGCCCAGGAGATTGCAGGAATTGGGATACCCAGTGGGACGAACAAAACCGCGATTTCAAACTATCCCGAGCAGACGGTTCGAGACGCTCTGTGGGGGAGGGGCGTCCACCATACCGAGGCAACCCGCCCCAACTGAGATACACGCCCACTGCTGACGCAGCCAGCCGTTGCCGAGGCAACCCGCCCCAACGGAGATACACGCCCATTGCTGACGCAGCCTGCCATTGCTGAGGCAACACGCTACAAGGAAGAGACTCCGCTGCAGGGCGTGGCGGAGACCACAGCAGAGCCGGCAGGAACAGCACGAATCACACAACAGCAGGGCGGAGCCTCGGCAGCCAAACAGTGGCTAGTCTGCCTTCTAGCTGGGCAGGACACCTGATCGGACATCCAAAAATAAAGCCCAAACCCCTCAACACAGAGCATTTGAGGAAAAAAAAAAAAAAAAAAAAAGGGGGTTTTTTAATGAGCTCTGTTGCAGCAGAATCAAACATAGTAGCCTAACAGCCCTGAATGAACAACAGAGTGCACAGCTCAGCAATTAAACCCCTATAAAGTACAAACTGTCTCCTCAAGCAGCTCCCTGACCCCTCTATATCCAAAAGACTGACATTAGGCAGGCATCATCCTGGGACAAAGAGAGCAGAAAAAGAAACTGGTAGCATCCCTCGCTGTGCCACAGCTGCTAGAGGTGCACCCCAGACAAGCAGGGTCTGGAGCGGACCTCAGCAGTCGTACAGCGAAGGGGCTAGACTGGTAGAAGGAAAACAAAGCAACAGAAATACTTCATCATCAACATTCTGGGTGTCCACTCAGAGACCCAAACGAAAAGTCAGCAACTACGCAGACGACCAGTGGACAAATCCACAAAGATGGGAAGAAACCAGCGCAAAAAGGAAGAAAACACCCGAAACCAGAACACCTCGCCTCCTAGAAAGGACCAAAACTCCTCACCAGCAAGGGAGCAAAGCTGGACAGAGAATGACTGTGACGAAATGACGGAATTAGACTTCAGAAGATGGATAATGAGAAACTTTTGTGAGCTAAAAGATCATGTATTAAATCAATGCAAAGAAACTAAGAACCTTGAAAAAAGATTTGTAAAAAGATTCGAGGAAATGATAACAAGAATGGATACCTTAGAGAGGAATATGAATGAATTAAAGGAGCTGAAAAACACAATACGAGAACTTCGCGAAGCAAACACAAGTTTCAATAGCCGAATTGACCAAGCAGAAGAAAGAATATCTGAAGTCGAAGACCAACTCAATGAAATAAAACGAGAAACCAAGATCAGAGAAAAAAGCGCAAAAAGGAATGAACAAAGTCTCCAAGAAATGTGGGACTATGTGAAAAGACCTAACCTACATTTGATAGGTGTACCAGAAGGGGACGAAGAGAATGAATCCAAGCTGGAAAATACTCTTCAGGACATCATCCAGGAAAATTTCCCCCACCTAGCAAGACAGGCCAACACTCAATTGCAGGAAATACAGAGAACACCACAAAGATATTCCGCAAGAAGAGCAACCCCAAGGCACATAATCGTCAGATTCAACAGGGTTGAAATAAAGGAGAGAATACTAAGGGCAGCCAGAGAGAAAGGTCGGGTCACCCACAAAGGGAAGACCATCAGACTCACAGCAGATCTCTCGGCATAAACACTACAAGCCAGAAGAGAGTGGGGGCCAATATTCAACATTCTTAAAGCAAAGAACTTTCAACCCAGAATTTCATATCCAGCCAAACTGAGCTTCAGAAGTGAAGGAAGAATAAAATCCTTCGCGAACAAGCAAGTACTCAGAGATTTTGTCACCACCAGGCCTGCTTTACAAGAGCTCCTAAAAGAGGCACTACACATAGAAAGGATCAACCAGTACCAGCCATTCCAAAATCACACTGAATGCTAAAGAGCTTCAACATAATGAAGAATCTACAACAACTAACAGGCAAAACAGCCACTTAGCATCAAAATGGCAGTATCAAATTCACACATAACAATATTAACCCTAAATGTAAATGGACTAAATGCACCAATCAAAAGACACAGACTGGCAAATTGGATAAAAATCCAAAACCCATCAGTGTGCTGTATACAGGAAACCCATCTCACATGCAAGGATACACAAAGGCTCAAAATAAAGGGATGGAGGAAGATTTACCAAGCTAATGGAAAGCAAAAAAAAGCAGGAGTTGCAATTCTCATCTCTGATAAAATAGACTTTAAAGTAACAAAGATCAAAAGAGACAAAGAAGGCCATTACATAATGGTAAAAGGATCGATACAACAAGAAGAGCTAACGATCCTAAACATATATGGACCCAACACAGGAGCACCCAGATACATAAGGCAAGTTCTTAATGACTTACAAAAGGACTTAGACTCCCACACAATAATAGTGGGAGACTTTAACACTCCACTGTCAATACTAGACAGATCAACCAGACAGAAAATCAACAAGGATACCCAGGGCTTGAACTCAGACCTGGAGCAAGCAAACCTGGTGGACATTTACAGAACTCTCCACCCCAAATCCACAGAATACACATTCTTCTCAGCACCACATCACACCTACTCTAAAATTGACCACATAATTGGAAGTAAAGCACTGCTCAACAAATGCAAAACAACTGAAATCATAACAAACAGCCTCTCAGACCATAGTGCAATCAAGTTAGAACTCAGAATTCAGAAACTGACCCAGAAACACACAGCTTCATGGAAACTGAACAACTGGCTCTTGAATGTTGACTGGGTAAACAACGAAATGAAAGCAGAAATAAAGAAGTTCTTCGAAACCAATGAGAACGAAGACACAACATGCCAGAACCTCTGGGACACATTGAAAGCAGTCTCTAGAGGAAAGTATATAGCAATAAGTGCCCATATGAGGAGAATGGAGAGATCCAAAATTGACACCCTATCATCAAAATTGAAAGAGCTAGAGGAGCAAGATCAAAAAAACTCAAAACCCAGAAGAAGACAAGAAATTACTAAGATCAGAGCTGAGCTGAAGGAGATTGAGACACGAAAAACCCTTCAAAAAATCAATAAATCCAAGAGCTGGTTTTTTGAAAAGATCAACAAAATAGACAGACCACTAGCCAGATTGATTAAAAAAAAGAGAGAGAACAACCAAATAGATGCAATAAAAAATGATAAAGGGGAAATCACCATAGATTCCACAGAAATTCAAACCATCATCAGAGAATATTACAAACAACTATATGCACATAAACTAGTAAACCTGGAAGAAATGGATAAATTCCTGGACTCCTGTGTCCTCCCAAGCCTAAACCAGGAGGAAGCTGAAACTATGAATAGACCAATAACAAGGTCTGAAGTTGAGGCAGCAATTAAGAGCCTACCACACAAAAAAAGCCCAGGTCCAGACGGGTTCACAGCCGAATTCTACCAGACACACAAGGAGGAGCTGGTACCATTCCTTCTAAAACTATTTCAAACAATCCAAAAAGAGGGAATCCTTCCCAAATCATTTTATGAGACCAACATCATCCTGATACCAAATCCCGGCAGAGACCCAACGAGAAAAGAAAACTTCAGGCCAATATCCATGATAAACATAGATGCAAAAATCTTCAATAAAATATTGGCAAGCCGACTGCAACAGCAAATCAAAAAACTTATTCATCATGATCAAGTAGGATTCATCCCGGGGATGCAAGGCTGGTTCAACATACGCAAGTCTATCAACGTAATTCACCACATAAACAGAACCAAAAACAAAAACCACATGATTATCTCAATTGACGCAGAGAAGGCATTTGACAAAATTCAACAGCCCTTTATGCTAAAAACCCTCAATAAACTCGGTATCGATGGAACGTATCTCAAAGTAATAAAAGCTATTTATGACAAACCAACAGCCAATATCATACTGAATGGGCAAAAACTGGAAGCATTCCCTTTGAAATCTGGCACTAGACAAGGATGCCCTCTCTCACCACTCCTATTCAATATAGTACTGGAAGTTCTAGCCAGAGCAATCAGGCAAGAAAAAGAAATAAAGGGTATTCAAATAGGAAAGGTGGAAGCCAAATTGTCTCTATTTGCAGACGACATGATAGTATACCTAGAAGACCCCATTGCCTCAGCCCAAAAACTCCTGAAACTGATAAACAACTTCAGCAAAGTCTCAGGATATAAAATCAATGTGCAAAAATCACAAGCATTCGTCTACACCAATAACAGACTTAAAGAAAGCCAAATCAAGAGCGAACTGCCATTCGCAATTGCTACAAAAAGAATAAAATACCTTGGAATACAACTCACAAGGAACATAAGGGACCTCTTCAAGGAGAGCTACAAACCACTGCTCAACGAAATCAGAGAGGACACAAACAGATGGAGAAACATTCCATGTTCATGGTTAGGAAGAATTAATATCGTGAAAATGGCTATACTGCCCAAAGTAATTTACAGAATCAACGCTATCCCCATCAAGCTACCATTGACTTTCTTCACAGAACTGGAAAAAACCACCATGAACTTCATATGGAACCAAAAGAGAGCCCGCATAGCCAAGTCAATTCTAAGCAAAAAGAACACAGCGGGGGGCATCACACTACCGGATTTCAAACTATACTACAAGGCTACAGTAATCAAAACAGCATGGTACTGGTACCAAAACAGAGATATAGACCAATGGAACAAAACAGGCACCGGAGGCAACACAACATACATACAACTATACAATCTTTGATAAACCTGACAAAAACAAGCAATGGGGCAAGGATTCCATGTTTAACAAATGGTGTTGGGAAAACTGGCTAGCCATGTGAAGAAAGCAGAAACTGGACCCCTTCCTGACACCTTACACTAAAATTAACTATAGATGGATTAAAGACTTGAACATAACACCTGGCACCATAAAAACCCTAGAAGGAAATCTAGGCAAAACTATCCAGGACATAGGAGTAGGCAAGGACTTCATGAACAAAACACCAAAAGCATTGGCAACAAAAGCCAAAATAGACAAATGGGACCTAATGAAACTCCACAGCTTCTGCACGGCAAAAGAAACAGTCACTAGAGTGGATCGGCAACCAACAGAATGGGAAAAAATTTTCGCAGTCTACCCATCTGACAAAGGGCTGATATCCAGAATTTACAAAGAACTCAAACAGATTTACAGGAAAAAAACAAACAAGCCCATTCAAAAGTGGGCAAAGGATATGAACAGATACTTTACGAAAGAAGACATATATGAGGCCAACAGTCATATGAAAAAATGCTCATCGTCACTGGTCATCAGAGAGATGCAAATCAAAACCACATTGAGATACCATCTCACGCCAGTTAGAATGGCGATCATTAAAAAATCTGGAGACAACAGATGCTGGAGAGGATGTGGAGAAAAAGGAACACTTTTACACTGTTGGTGGGAGTGTAAATTAGTTCAACCACTGTGGAAGACAGTGTGGCGATTCCTCAAGGCCTTAGAAATAGAAATTCCATTTGACCCAGCAATCCCATTACTGGGTATATATCCAAAAAACTATAAATCGTTCTACTATAAGGACACATGTACACGAATGTTCATTGCAGCACTGTTTACAATAGCAAAGACCTGGAATCAACCCAAATGCCCATTGATAATAGACTGGATTGGAAAAATGTGGCACATATACACCATGGAATATTATGCAGCAATCAGAAATGATGAGTTCGTGTCGTTTGTAGGGACATGGATGAATCTGGAGAACATCATCCTCAGCAAACTGACACAAGAACAGAAAATGAAACACCGCATATTCTCACTCATAGGTGGGTGATGAAAAATGAGAACACATGGACACAGAAAGGGGAGTACTAAACACTGGAGTCTATTGGGGGGAAAAGGGGAGGGCCAGTGGGAGGGGGAGGTGGGGAGGGATAGCCTGGGGAGAAATGCCAAATGTGGGTGAAGAGGAGAAGAAAAGCAAAGCACACTGCCATGTGTGTACCTACGCAACTGTCTTGCATGCTCTGCTCATGTACCCCAAAACCTATAATCCAATAAAAAATTAAAAAAAAAAAAAAAAAAAGAAAGGGCAAGACTTATAAAAGTCTAGGTTGCTAGGTTATAGGACCAACCCTCCCACTGAAATACACTGAAAACTTCCCACTAAAAACCCTCCCACTGAAAACTTCTTAAATGCATCAAAAAGTTGAGAAGGCAATGAACTACAAGATAAAAAAAAAAAACCTAGAGAAGGTCAGGCGTGGTGGCTCACGCCTGTAATCCCAGCACTTTGGGAAGCCGAGGCGGGCAGATCACGAGATCAAGAGATCGAGACCATCCATGCCAACATGTTGAAACCCCGTCTCTACTAAAAAATACCAAAAAAAATTTAGCTGGGTGTGGTGGCACGCGCCTGTAGTTCCAACTGCACGGGAGGCTGAGGCAGGAGAATTGCTTGAACCCAGGAGGCGGAGGTTGCAGTGAGCCGAGATTGTGCCACTGCACTCCAGCCCCGTGCCTGGTGACAGAGTGAGACTCTGTCCCAAACAACAAACAAACAAACACAAAAACCTAGAGAAAATCTAGACTCTAGAGAAGTAAGCACAGTGCCCCTGAGCAAGGCCAGGACTTGCCCCATCCTTGTCCCAACCTGAACGTGAAAGCAGCTTTTGCCCCTATGCTAGACAAGAGTAGACTTTGGTTTTAATGGCCACACAAAGAGGATAGAGTCCAATACTCAAGACCCATCCAAGTTGAGAAGTCTAGTAAGAGACCTTTTCCACATTAACCTGGGACCAGAAAATGCTGTACTCTTAAAACTACCCACCCCCTCCCGAGTCTGGGGATCTATGGAACTTAACACTTAGAAGAGCAAAGAGAAAAGGAAAAAGAAAAATATATCTCTGAGAAGTTGTGTGGGCATGGGCCAGCCCTCACAGCTTGGGTTTACATTGCTTAGGGATTCCCAGGCACCCCAAACCTAGAACTAGATCTAAGATTAGATCTAGGAACCCAGGTTAAACCTCAGGAAATTGGCAAAAGTAAATTCATGTTTTCTCCATGGAAAGACAACTTCATCATAGGCCTCAAAGAATCCACTCAGATAAAGTTCACAGTACACAGTCAAAAATAAGTGCAAAAGGAGATAAGTCACCATTAGATGGGAACATCTGTGGTCGGCATTTGTGCCAGAAATACAAAATGCTGCCGCAAATGGCTGGTGATATTGATGGAGTCTCTATTCCTAGAAGACTAGCTCCTGTTACACTCTGTTAACACACTCTGCAATACTGGTAGAAAGCTGAAGCAATTCATTATAGCATTCACAGATTAACAGGGAAAATCCAAGCCTAACATGACATTAGAACTCAGAAGTGCTTACCTCTCCTACAATTTGAACAATTCAGAGAATATTAGTATTGCCTCTGTACAAAGATGACCCACAAATTTGTGAGGCATTCCATATTTTGTTTAAAAAACATTTGAAGAGTTTAAAACACAAAATATCACAATATGTATTTAGAGAGGTTACTTTATCTATAAAATAAGAACAAGCTTTAATGAAAGAAAAAAGATAAGGTATTTTAGGAATGAAATATCTGATAGCAAAAGTAAAAACATTAAGGCTGAATAGGAAAATTGTCATAGCTGAAGAGCAACCAGGATGCTCAAGATCAAACTGAAAAATTCTCTCAGATCATAATACAAACAGACAGGGAGATGGAGATGATAAGTATGAAATAAAGATTAAGGCACTTGGAGGATACCTCCAAACATTACCATATCCATATCATAGGATTTCCAGAAAGAGAAAATAGAACTCAGAGGAAAAATAAATCAAATAAAATTCCCTAGATATGAAAAAAGACTCAAATTTTTACATTAAGGCCCACTTTGTGCCAAACAAGAAGACTGGAAAAGACCCATTCTAGAAAATACTGGTAAAAGTTTAGTACTTTATGGACAAGAAAATCCTAAAAGCTTCTAAAAAGAAAAACATGTTATTTACAAACAAAAACACCCTCTTGACTTCAGATTCTTTAGCTACATTGAGTATAAGAAGACACTAGAGAAATATTTTCTAAAATACTGAAGCGAAAATGATTTTGAACTTAGAATTCTGTAATCTGACAATCAGACAAGTGTAATGACATTTTCAAACATGAGACATTTCAGACATGAATGGATTCAGAAAATTTATCTCCCACAAACCCTAGCTGAAATAATTGCTAGAAGACATGCTCCAGCAAAATGAATCCAAGAGAAGAGTGGAAGTCAGTGGTAAGCCAAGTAACCTTTAAGACTTAGGATAAATCTAAATAAAGGTTCATTTTATCTTATAGAAATACAATAATCACAAATATTTATTTTTTAAAATCCTTTTCACAGTAGCAACAAATATTATAAAATAGGAATAAATTTAATGAAAGTGGAGTAAAATACCCAAGAAATAAAAATTAAAATTTACCTGGAGAACATTAAACAAAGAAACCTGAATAAATTAAAGCTGTACATCTGAATGAATCTGTGTTGTAAATATGCCAATGTTTTGTAAATTTATACATTGTAATGTGTAAATCCAACACAATTCCAGTCAAAATATCAACAGATTTCTAAACGAATCTGACAAGCTTATTCTAAAATTCACCTAGAAAAGAAATTATGCTGGAATTCCCAAGATAAGTTTCACAAAGAGGAACATGGAGGGTGTGTGTGTGTGTGTGTGTGTGTGTGAGACTGTGTGTGTATCCCCACACAGAGAGGTTCCTGCTCAATCAGATAGCAAAATATGCAGTTACATATATACAGTAATTGGGGTATCACTAGAAGAATAGAGGGGTAGATCAGGAAAATAGAACAGAAAGTTAAAAAATGGACCAATGGTCGGGCGTGGTGGTTCACGCCTAGCACTTTGCAAGGCCAAGGTGGCATGAGGATTTAAGACCTCTACGGTGAAAAGAACACAAAATACGGTTAAAAGGCTGAAAACAGACTGAAGAATATATTTACAACACACACACAAAATCAAATAACATCCAGAAAACAAGAATTTCTAAATATTTTTTAAAGCCTAATAGTTCCTTAGAGAGGAAATATAAATGCTCCCAAATGCCCTCCAGTCTTGTCGGCCAGGCTGGAGTGCAATGGTGCGATCTCGGCTCACTGCAACCTCTGCCTCCCGGGTTCAAGTGATTCCCCTGTCTCAGCCTCCCGAGTAACTGAGACTACAGGCATCTGCCACCATGCCCGGTTAATTTTTGTGTTTCTAGTAGAGATGGGGTTTCATCATGTTGGCCAGGCCGGTCTTGAGCTCCTGACCTCAGGTGATCTGCTCGCCTCAGCCTCCCAAACTGCTGGGATTACAGGCGTGAGCCACCATGCCTGGCTGTGGCAGTATTATATATAACATACATATACTGTGTGTGGAAGTAGAGTAGCTTTTTGGTATGCCAATTTGGTATTATCTATTAATATTTAAAATGAGCATACTACGTCTCATTTACTTCTTGTTTTGTCCACCCTAGCAAACCGTACATGTTTCATAGGAAACATGTTAAAGGTATCCCTTACAGTATTGTTTGTCATGACAAAATTATTTCAAACATCATAATTTGTCTATCCATATTTAGTAATTAAATGACAACCACTGTTTTAGAGACAACTATCTTCTAACCTTGAGTTTCTGGATTTTATTTCACAGCATGTCAGAAATCTTCAAGAACATGATTGGCAAATAATTCTGACACTAAAACACAATTTCTATTTTCTACATTCGATGTATGTTGAATGTTACCTCAAGTGCTTACAGTATCAAGGTCACTATATATTTCTAAGTTGACATGCATAATTTTACATTTTATACGTTTGTATAAAAATGTACCAAAATATTTAAAAATACAAAAACCTTAAGAATTTTCTACATAGTTATTCCCTGTGTTGGTTAATTTATGGTACCATATAAAATATCTATCTTTTTTGGAGTGGGGGGGACAGAATCTCGCCCTGTCACACAGGCTGCAGTGCAGTGGCTCGATCTTGACTCACTGCACCATCAACCTCCCAGGTTCAAGCGATTCTCCTGCCTCAGCTTCCCAAGTAGCTGGGATTACAGGCATACCAGGCAGGCACACCATGCATGGCTAAGTTTGTATTTGTAGTAGAGACTGGGTTTTACCATGTTGGCCAGGTTGGTCTCGAACACCTGACCTCAAGTGATCCGCCTGCCTTGGCCTACCAAAATGCTAGGATTGTAGGTGTGAGCCACCACACCCAGCCTAAAGTACTTATCTTTAAACCTCTGTGGTTTTTAATTCCCATTGCATCAATTATTTAATACTTTTAATTACTCCAAAGTATACTGTGGTAATATCAGATGATTCTACATGATGCAACCAACAATCATTTTGATTGCTGGAGACAAGACATAGTACTTATTAGTGCCTTGCCCAAAATCAGTTAGTGCATCCATTTACAAAGGGGACTAAGACTAGAACTGAAGAATTCTGAATCATATTACCTGCTCTACTGATAATCCATATTTCTTCATTCCTAAAGAAAGATACACTGATAATGAAAGAACAGAAGAACTGGCTCTAAGAATTCTAAACCTGCTTTGAAACTAGTTCTTCTAATATTTAGGGCAAATCATCCTGATCTGGTTGCCTAAAGTAATTGCTCAATTACTTCTCCAGGTTCAGTCCATCAGTCGTACATATGTAAATACATATAAACTTAAAAGCACCCTAAATCCAGTGAGCACATTCCCAAATTTGTAATGCTTTAATGGTGAAGCAGTGTGGATGAAAAGTCCAACTAGAAAAAAAAAATGATAATGTTACACTCATGTGCTACCTCTGTTTTTTTAAATAGCATATTATATAAAGATTAAAAACTAATACAACTTCATGGTTAAAACTACTTAACTCAAGATTGTTGAGTTATGCAGTGATGAAGCACTAAACACTAAAAACCTTTTGTTTGAAGAGAAAAACCAGGCTCATTATGTGTAAAAAAAAAAATAGTTCTTTGTGGCTATAGAATTTAATTTGACAATTCCAAACCTGAGATTCTTTGACTCTTAAGTTTTCAATTGTAACTTAAAAGGCCATTTGGTTAAATTTTAGATCCAGGAGCACAGTGACATGCTGTGTTTTAATAAAAGTATTTAATCAACCAAGAGGATGGAACTCTTCCTTCAGAGATCTTACAATCCATAGAATAAAATTTAATAAATAATTAGGTGCTAACATAAGTGACATGGGAGTACGACTTCCTGAAGATGTACCAAGAACAGATGGGTCATTGAAGGCTGGAGTATCCAGGGAGACCTACAGGTATGAAGGCAAATTTATTTAGTACACAAGTAAGTACAATACATGGGTGTGAGAATGAGTAGAATGTATATATAGGGTAGGAGGATACTACCACTTCAATAAGAGCAGAGAGTATGGGAAATAAATTGGCTAAGAAAAATAAGATTGGATTATTGAAAGGCGTAAACTGCCAGGCAGAAGAAATTAAAAGAAACTTTACTGAGTGCCTAGCAAATGTCAAGCACTTTCACATCCATGATCTCATTTAGTTATCAGAACAACTCTTCACACTCCCAATTCACGACAGTGCAATTCAAAGAAAAGCAAAACACAATGTTTTGCCTGTTCTTGGGGATGTTGGCATGGAATGAGTAAAACATGATGAAAGATTTGGAGCTTAAGAGACTAATGATCCCCTTGACAGGGGTAGAACACTGGAGAGAGGAAGGTGACTTGGGAGGGGGCAGATGAGAAATGATTCAGTTTGTGGGGACATTGGGACTTAGAAATGACAGGAATATATCCAGGCCACCTCGCTGCCTATTTAATCATATTTCAACCACTTCAGCTATTGACAACAAAACAAGTAGTTTGAGTGTTTCCACTCTCCATCAGAACCCTAAGTGGAAACTTTCTATCTATTGCAAAATTTCAGCCTTTCAACTAAAGTCACTCTGTGTCTCTAAGCTTAAAAGCTTTAGTGCCCTATTTCTAAAGGACAAAATCATGTCTTACAGTCACCATTAACAAAGGCTTCATACTCTGTATGAATAGAATTAACTAAGTTATTGTATCATTTATAAACTTTAGTTCATGAATTCGAGCATTCAAGAAATACAACATTTTTTTCTTCTTTTTTTTTTTTTTTTTTTTTGAGATGGAGTCTCTCTCTGTTGCCCAGGCTAGAGTGCAGTGGCACAATCTTGGCTCACTGCAACCTCCGCCTCCCATGTTCAAGTGATTTTCCTGCCTCAGCCTCCTGAGTAACTGGAAATACAACAATTTTTTCAACATTGGAATTTAATTTATGTTTAATGTCAAGCTACTACATTTAATGTCAAGCTGTTGTAGTGTTCATTTCTCTTTACCACCCTTCTAGCTTTTCTCCCTAATCCTAGTCCAGGGAATGTTTCCACATTTTGGGAAGTGAGCACAGA